GACAAAGAATGGACCGTGAGCAATGTTCCCTCTAAGCTGTGGGGTCTTGTGAGCAAAAATTCTGCTTTGTGAGCTACCGGCATTAAAGTTGTGAGCCAGCGATTTGGCTACTGCATAAATTAGTCTGCTCTGGCGCCATCCTTCCTGAGCTAAGACAAAAACGTGTGAGCCGAAGGCTAAAAAACTGTGAGCTAGCTCACACTAACTCAGCTTAGAGGGAACACTGACCATGAGATTAGAAGAAGAAGAAGAGAGAAGAGATTGGATTTATACCCCGCCCTTCATTACCCAAGGTGTCTCAAGAGCGGCTTACAAACTCGTTTCCCTTCCCCTCCCCACAACAGACACCCTGTGAGGTGGGTGGGGCTGAGAGAACTCTGACACAAACTGCTCTTTTTCAAGGACAGCTGTGCCAGAGCTTGTGACTGACCCAAGTTCACATCAGCACATGCAAGTGGAGGAGTGGGGAATCAAACCCGGTTCTCCCAGATTAGAGTCCGCACACTTAACCACTACACCAAACTGGCACCAAACCTAGCTAATCGTAGGTCTCTTGCCTTCCAGAAAGGGGAGCCGATGCCCGCACGGGGTTACTGGGGAGACATTGCCACCGGCCCCTTCATCACCTTTGGACTTGAGACGGAAGAGACCAGTCTTCTGAAAACCGTCAATGGGCTTCCTAGCAAGGTGGGCCATGATTGGCTTTTGCTGGCTTTTCAGGGGGAGGAGGGGGTTGGTAACATGGGGCCAGATTTCTCTCCAGTCTGTGAACTGATCTCCCGTAATGTTTAAAGGGGTAGCCTTAACCGGAGGGCCTGGTCAGATCTCGTGAGCTTAGTAGGGTCGACCCTGGTGAGTACGTGGATGGGAGACCACCAAGGAAGTTCAGCGTTGCTGGGCAGAGGCAGGCCATGGCAAACCACCTCTGCTCATCTCTTGCCTTGAACACCCCACTGGGGGTCGCCACAGGTCAGCCGCAACTTGCTGGTACTTTCTGCCACCACCACCAGCCGCATGACACCCCGCATCCCTAGTCGCAAATCAGGACCTGTGTGTGGAAGGGGAGGGCAGTTGGGTTTTATCCCTTTCCTCTCCCCATTCGGTTTTGTTGATCAAAATCACTGCATGTACATACGCTGCGTCGGCCTGGAGGAGAAAAGAAAGGCTAGCAAAGGCAGTGTGCCTAGCCTTCCTTCTCTTGAAAGCCTACTTCAGCTGGGGGGGGGGGGAAGAGGGTGTTTACCAGTTGTAATTAGTGAAGGGGAAGCCCCGTCATCTGGACCACAGCCCTTACCTGAACCAAAGGTCCCAGGCAGCTGCTGTGTTTCTCTTTAAAAAAAAACAAACCTTGGAAATTCTGTTTCCAGATCTCCCAGCATCGTACCTGGTTTGACCCTGTGTCTGAGCAGCAGAGCATCCTTGACATCCCTCATCCAAAAGATCTGTACAGAAGGAGAATCAAATGAGAGAATCCCAAAGAGGGCAGCACGAATGCAAATTAAGGCTGTTTCCAAGCTGACCTTCCTTTTTTCCTCCTCCGCAGGGCGCTCAGGAAATCTCCTTGTACAATGTCACCGCCCTGTTCTACGAACTGAGCCATCGCTCCCGCTATGACCCGCCCACAGCCTCCGACAAGGAGGGGGAGGAGGGCAGCCTGCAAGGGGAAGAGGACCAGGCCACGCTGGATGCGGCCAACAGTGAGTGGCCGGTGTCCTCTGCCGTGGGGGCTCCCCAGTGTCTCTCTTATTATGCTCTCTGGGGCCGAGGCTCCCACAGTGCCCTGCCAAATTCTCATTGATTGCGTATAGTTTTATTCCTCCTTTATCCCAAGAACTCAGGACCGGCTAGAAAAGTACATGAAAATGACAATGTCCGCGTAATAGTGTTTTCCCCATCAGTCGTGTCCTGGGCAGGCTTCTGCCTCCTGCTTGCTCCACAGGATGAGCTGTAAAAATGGAAACGGTGTTCTCCTTCCTTCTGTGGGGAGAGAGCCCAACCAGTTCCAGTCCTGCCTGGGAGAGGTCAGAAGTCTGGTTTTAACTGCTGTCCTCCCCAGGAATACAGGTCAGCTTCTCCTAGCAGTGGGACTGGAACTTCTGTCTCCTAGTTCATAATGCAGAGCTCTGGTGACCCTACAGGATGTGATATCAGAGCTATGGGTTTTTGTCTCACATTTTGCCGATTTGGAGGCTCTTTACTTCCCTCAAGACTCCTGGAAAACGTTGGGATCTTTTCTTATTACTCCTCCATTTTCTGCACAGTGGCATAAAAGCAGGGTTTGGATTTGTTTTCTGGCTTCAGGAACATCCCCGGTTCTTTGTCTTGCTTACATTTTATTCCCCGAGTTGTTCCTCTTTAGCTTTGTCGTCGGCCCCCCTACCCAGTCTCTCCCTCCGCCGCCTCTTGCCTGCCGTGGTGTCCCACTGTGGCTGTGGTCACACACAACTAAAGAATCCACTTCCAATCCACTTTCAGTGCACTTTACTGTGGATTTTACTGTGTGAACTGGCAAAATCCAATTGGAAGGTGCATTGAAAGTGGATTGAGAGTGGATTGTTTTAGTGTGGGTGACCGCAGCCTCTGTGTTTTCCCAAGGCCAAGGCCCTCCCGACACAGAAGATATCCGGGTCCACTTCCTGCCTCTCAACTGCCTCCCTCGGCTCCATCAGAAGGGCAAATACCAAAAGCTCTTCAACCTCCTATTCTTTTCCTGCAGGTAAGGCTGGGGGCTGGGCAGGAGGGGACTTCCAGGACAGCGGAGCTCCCTTGAGGCACTGGGAGCCCGTCGGCACTGCAGCTTCCCCTCGAAAGAGGACGGGAGCAGCCGGCTGTGCTAGGAGGCAGGGCTGCTGGCTGACTCAGGAGGGCTCTGGCCTGCCTCAGCAAGTAAGGACAATACGCCGAGAGGTCGCTTCTCTCTACCCACCACCTCTTTGTTTGCCTTTCGTAGCATGGTGCACCTCCTGAAACCAGAGCTGTGTCTGGTATCCGCCCCCAAAGCCACACTCGTCATTGAGCTGGCCAAGTAAGTGTTTCTTTCTTCACCCTGTGCTGGCAAACAGATCTCACCCCGCCCCCAAGAAGCCAGTGATGCAGTAGATGAAGCACTGGGTTTGGGCAAACGAGACCCACATCCAGATCCTTGTTTAGTCACGAGCAGTGCTCCCTCTAAGCTGAGTTAGTGTGAGCTAGCTCACAGTCTTTTAGCCTCCAGCTCACACATTCTTGTCTTAGCTCAGGAAGGAGGGCTCCAGAGCGAACTAATTCATGCGATAGCCAAGTCGCTTGCTCACCGCTTTAATGCCAGTAGCTCACAAAGTAGCCTTTTTGCTCACGAGACTCCACAGCTTAGCAGGAGCGTTGTTCATGAGCAGTGGCCTGACCTACCTTGCAAGGTGTGTGCTGTTTCTTTAGGGTCCTTTTGCCGCCTGGCCATGTTAACCTTGTAGCGCTCCAGTTTTCAAAATGTATTTGAAGCTGGGAGGGCTCGATTTGCTTTGCCACAACTTCCGCAAGAACCAAACTATAAGTAACATTTTTTTCCCACTTGGTTACACATGTTTTGACGTGTTCCCCGCAGCCACATGTAAAAGTGAAAAAAACGTATAATTTGGCTGTAGCTAAAAAGTGTTTAGGAGCTGCGGTGGCTCAAGTGCTTAAGACGCTGAACTGCAGGCTGTGGAAGGTCGGTAGTTCAGCAGTTCGAGACCCGAGTGTGCCGCATGACGGAGTGAGCTCCCATCTCTAGTTCCAGCTCCTGCCAACCTAGCAGTTCGAAAGCAAGAAATTTCAAGTAGATAAATAGGTACCACTTTGGTGGGAAGGTAACAGCATTCCGTGCACCTTGGTGTTTAGTCATGCCGGCCACATGACCACGGAAACGTCTTCGGACAGCGCTGGCTCTTCGGCTTTGAAACGGAGATGAGCACCGCAACCCTAGAGTCGGATTCGACTGGCTTTCGAGCAAGGGAACCTTTACCTTTACCTAAAAATGTGTGGGTGGGGGTCTCTGTTGTAGGACTGGCAAAGACCTTTCTCTGCCCGAGACCCTGAAGAGCTGCTGACACTTGAGTAGGGCTGGGCAAATCAATGATCCGACTTGGTAGAAGGCAGTTCTGCATGTTTTTTTAGAAAACAGCAGGCAGCAGTACAGGGTACTGCAGTTCTGAAGCAGTTCCTGTTCTCGGAAAGACGGCAAAACAATTGGACGAAGACCAATTATCTGTTAGTGGTGCCTTTTTAGACAGAACGACAAAAACATGAAAGCACTAAGTGATGGGATCTGTCTTCCACTTCTGTCTTTCTAAAACAAGTGTGCCAAAGCTTTCCACGCTTGACGGGGGCGCATATGGATCCTGCATCCGAGCACGCCTGTCCAAGTACATGATCAATTGAGAAACCTGCTCCTAGATTCTGGGCTTTTAGAGAGAAGTGGGACTAGCTCACAGCAGAGAGGGAAAAGACAGGAATGTCTCGTCTGTCTGCCCCATCCTGATCGCCTTGTTTGTTTATTTCAGTATTTTCATCCAAATTTTCTCCCCAGTGGGACCCAACGCACTTTATGAAATTCCGTTTGCAAAAATGCAACTTAAAGAAGCAAACAGAAGACAAAACAAAAGGGTACTGTACGCCACGTTGTAGCTTAGTCCTGGACCTGCTGGCCTCGCTCACGTAGGGCCTCAGGCGGCAAGCCCTGGGCTAAGAGCCACAGGTTAGGATCCCCTTGTCCGGTGCCCTCTGGCTTGCAACGCAGGCCCAGGCTAAACACAGGCAGACGGAAGAGGAACAGGAGCTCCACTCAGATCTAATTCAGCTGCCCAGGGCTTTTTTTGTAGAAAAAGCCCAGCAGGAACTCATTAGCATAATAGACCACACCCAGCAGCATAAACTCATTAGCATATTAGGCCACACCCCTGTCAACAGATCTCATTAGCATATTAGGCCACACCCCCATGTTACCAAAAGTGTGGTCATCCAGCCACACCCACCTTTTGCTTCTTATTCTGTTTACCTTGTTTGTTGTCAAAACCCAGGACTTTTTTTGTAGCAGGAACTCATTCCTGCCCAAAAATAGCCCTGCAGCTGCCGTAAAGATGTGCCCCACCTTCTTCCCCCTGCTGGTGGCTGGTTTTCTGAGAGGATTACAGGGCCTCGGTAATTTAGCAAAGGGAGGCAAGCGGTGCCCAGCAGATCCACCGAGCCGGCCTTCCCGACGCGTCAGATTAATCCGTTCCTCTTTCAGCTTCCTGCCCGACCTCCGCAAGGAGCAGGTGTCCGAGTTCTGCTCCCGAGTGACCAACCTGGCGAGGGAAACGGGATTTGTGCCCGTCGAAGCACCCGGCCAAGAAGCGTTTTCCTTGTTCCAGCGGCAGGATCCTCCTGAGGTGGCAGAGCCAGGCCTCTGACGCTCCCTCCCCACTTTTACATCCGTCTTCTTTTGAATCTTTGCTGGGCTTTTTTTCCCCTTTTGTAAAAAACACAATTCCTCTTAATAAAAAAGGCTGCTGCTGCAGAACACGCCCAGGCCCTTGTCCGTCTGTGCTGAGGTCACTGAGTCACCGTGGAAGGGGGAACCGCCGTCCTTCTGGGGCTGGTTGTCTGTCAGGAAGATTCCCCCCCCCGTGCCTTCCCCGCTGAGTTCTCTCTCCCATAGCCACACAGAAAGGGCCAATCCAGATGTGATGGGAGCGCACGGGTCTCCCAGTGTCTTTTTAAGCACTAATTACAGCTGCACAGGACCCGATTCGGATCAGAGTCGTACAAGGAGTGCAGAGGGAAGTCAGCCCTTTCATACCTGAATGGTTTCGCTAATTGAAACCTCCTCTCTTCCACATTCTCCCTCATGCAGCTTAAAACCTTTTAAAGGGATGGGGGGGGGAACCCATTTTCCCTTGCTTCCCCCCCCCCAAAGGCTATAACTGTGCCGGGGAGTGGGGGTCAATTTGTGAAGGGATGAGGAGGTGAAAGGACTTAAACTCCTCTCCCTTACATGCTCGAGAGCCTCATCATTTCCATGCTTTTCAGCACATGAGTGAGAGCCTTCAGTGTTCCCTTGAAATCAAAAGGCTTCTGCTCCTAGAGCGTTCAATATACCATGATGGTATACTGTGGCCCGCCATTTCATGGGTGAATCTGGAAGAGGCGCTGGAATGGAGGCGGCCACCGGGAACCCTTGTGACTCTGTCAGTTCTAGCCCTGCCATGGGGGCTCTTCTGCCTTCCCTTTGGGTTGTCTCGCCAAAGCCCTGTTCCTGCTCCCCCCCCCTCCCCGCAGTGTCTGGTGGCCGTCCTTATCAGAGGAATGCATTCCGTTCTCCTTCTTCCCTAAAAGGCTCAGCTAAGGCTGAGCTCCGTTCTTCATAAAAGGCCACCAATCACATTGGTGCCCTTGTAATCACGGGAGAAATTCTTTCCCTCTAGCAGTGCACCGTTCCGTTCCTGAAGGCATCAGGTAATAGGGAAGAGGGCATCTTTTAATGTTTTCCCCCTTTGGGGGAGGTTGTCAGCTTGGTGGGGGAGAGAAGTAGCCAGTGCTCCCTTATGCATGGGGAAGATTGTAAACCCTCCGCTGTGGGGTTAATATGCAGGATAATGCGTAACGATCCAGAGAACAGCTCTCTCTGTTTTCTGTGCTTTGAAAAACCCTTCTTTAAGGAAGCAGCGTCAGCGTCAGGACAGCCTTCGCTGGGCGTTGAAAAACCCTTCTTTAAGGAAGCAGCGGCAGCGTCAGGTTGCTGGGTGCAATAAATTTAGGTGCAAGGTTGTCACCATTCTCAGTTTCTTAGAGCGCCGAGGCTGCTGGGGTATCTGTGTGCATCTTTCTCTGTGTGCGTCTGTGTGTGATTGTCTTCCAAGCAGGCATTGCTGGGAGGCAGAAGCAAGCCCACTGGCAGTGCCGCGCCATCAGTCATTCTGTTTCCAGCATCTTCCTCATCGCCCGCAAAGAGGTGGTTCCGAGAACTCGGTTGCGGCACCGCCACAGTCGCAGGTGATACGGCTCTCATGTACCCTGTTCGGCATAAAGAGATTTAGACTGTGTTTACGTGAGTCCGTTCGTTCGGCCCGAGTGTACTTAAGTTCTTAACGTGCGGGAACAGTACAGAAGTTGCGCCCTCTTGAATAGCTCGCCCTCCCCCGAGTGTATTAACACTGCTTGCTTATGGCGTCGTGACCTTAACATGGAATTAAATTGCAGTTCAGCGCTTTAAATCAGACTATCAATTTATCAGCTGGAGGGAATCCAATGACCCAAAGGGCGGGGATGTGGAAGGGGGGAACGTAGGAGCCGAATCTCTTTCCTCCTCACTCGAGGTGTGCGTAGTTTCGAGTGAACTCGGGTCAGTCGCAAGAGTTATAGGTGGCACTGATCTTTTGTGGGGGGGAAGGGGGGTGATTGGATGGCTCCTGCACTTCAAACCGCAACTCCTGCAACATTTCTGGCTGTTCCCGGTAGCAGATGTCTCCAGCAAGGGTGCAGAATGGTTGGTTTCACACCTAGGGCTAAGAATAAAAGTGTCCCTTCACAGTTCTCTTGGGGAAGGAGGGGAGCTTTCTATATTTTTGCTCGCAGCCTGTGATCTCCCCACCCCCCCACCTCCGGTTTCTGAGGTGGAAGGAAATAATTTCAAACAGCTCCTCTCAATATTAATCTCCTCGCGTGTGTCAGGGACTCGGCTCCATCCCGAGCCCCTCCCTCTCTCAAAAGACAAGCTCGGTCTCCTTATCGGTCCTTGTGAAGAAGCGATCCCCTCCTGACCTGCCGGGCTAGGGAAAAGGGAGAGGGCAGAGAATGGGGGGTGGCGACGGTGGTGACTGAACTGGCCTCCCCCATCTGTCTCTGTGGCTCGCTCTGCTAGTTCTGCCAAGGGCTGCTGCCTCCTCTTGGAACAGCCCGGCCCTGTTCGGAAGCGATAACACAGCACAAATTTAGCTGCTTCTAAAGAGGCTCTGGCGATATGGGTGTCTGGTACACACTTCAGACAAGTGTCGACAAAGGCCAGAGAGGGCTCGGTCGTGGGCTGAAGCACGAGGGAACGGAAGCACTTCTCTGAATTAAAAAACCAGCGTGAGGCCCTCTTTGTGTGTTTACTTCTCAGTGGAAATAGTCACGCTGCTTTCCAGAAAAATCGTGTGGTTTCTTTTTAACGTCTCCACAGCCACAGTTCGTGGTAATTCAATACCCTTGGCAGCTTAATACATGGTGACAAACATGGATCTGCCACCCCAGCAGGTACGCTTCGCAGGACGTAGGCAGCTAATAGCAGCCCATGATTAGTATACCTGCAAGCACAGTTTACATACGTGTCTAGATGTTCACCAACAACTGTGCGGGCTGGATCCCACCGCTTTTTTCCCAATGGCAATAGACAGAGGTCGGGCTTCTTTTGACCACCAAAAAGGGGATCGTGGGACCTTGCTGAGACAAAAGCCACATGGGGGTGGGGGCTGCAGTGAGGAGGGAGGGAGTACGGCACAGTCAAGTAGAAAAGCCAGTAGGATGCAACCCTTGTGCATTGTGGGAAGTGGCACTCCAGAGCTTAGAGGAAACATTGGTGGGGGCTGCAGCGAGGAGGGAGAGAGTACGGCACAATTAAGTAGAAAAGCCCGTAGGATGCAACCCTTGTGCCTTGTGGGAAGTGGCAAAAGGAAAGCAAACAGTTTTTGTAAATGCCGCACAAATCCTTAAATACCATACAAAGGCCGTAACCGGGGTGGTGCCCGCGGATACTATACCATGCCTGGAGTACTAACTAGCCCCACCTAAGAGTTGGCGGGGCGGGATGTGACCAAAGAACATCCTCCCCTTTTTGCTTTACGCTGCTTCTATGTACTTTCAGGCCCCAACCTGGATAGTGTGGGCCAGCCCGATCTTGTCAAATCTTCTTGTTGTTGTTTTGGTGAGTAGTTGGTGTGCGTGTGTGTGCCAGTGCCTGGAAGTCATGGTTGACTTCTGGTGACCCCTAATGTGGCTTGGACATTCAGAGAGGTGGCTTGCTATTGCCTGCTCCTGTGTCCTAGCACTGGTATTCCTTGGTGGTCTCCCATCTAAGTACTTGCCAGGGTCGGCCCTGCTTAGCTTCCCAGATCTAATGAGATCGGGCTTGCCTGGGCTATCCAGATCAGGGCATCTTGTCAAATCTTGGAAGCTAAGTAGGGTCGGCCCTGGTTTGTATTTGGATGGGAGCATGATCCCCTGGAGAACTCCTTGGCAAATAGAAGGGGAAGTCGTGGAAGAAGTGACAGACTTCACGTTCCTGGGAGCCCAGATCACCGCAGACTGTGACAGCAGCCATGAAATTAAAAGACGCCTGCTCCTTGGGAGGAAAGCGATGGTGAACCTCAACAGCATGATAAAAAGTAGAGACATCACCCTGCCAACAAAAGTCCGCATGGTCAAAGCAATGGTATTCCCAGTAGTCATGTATGGCTGCGAGAGTTGGACTATAAGGAAGGCCGAGTGCCGAAGAATAGATTCTTTTGAACTATGGTGCTGGAGGAGACTCTTGAGAGTCCCTTGGACTGCAAGAAGATCAAATCAGTCAATCCTAAAAGAAATCAACCCTGACTGTTCCCTGGAAGGCCAGATAATGAAACTGAAGCTCAAATACTTTGGCCACCAAATGAGAAGGGAGCACTCACTGGAGAAGACCCTGATGCTGGGAAAGACTGAAGGTCAAAGAAGTCAGGGAGGGCAAAGGATGAGAGAACATGAAACTGAGCCAACTTCAGAGGACGGCGGAAGACGGGAAGGCCTGGTGGGATCTGGTCCATGGGGTCGCGAAGAGTCGGACTCGACTGTGCGACTGAACAACAACAAACCTCCAAGGAATACCAGGGTCATGACACGGAGGCAGGCGATGGCAAACCACCTCTGAAGGTCTCTTGCCTTGAAAGCCCTATAAGTCAGAAGAAGAAGAGAAGAGAGAAGAGATTGGATTTATACCCCACTCTTCACTACACTAAGGAGTCTCAGAGCAGCTTGCAATCTCCTTTCCCTTCCCCTCCCCACAACAGACACCCTGGGAGGTAGGTGGGGCTGAGAGAGCTCTTTTGAGAACTGCTCGTGAGAGAACAGCTCTGAAACAAAGGTCACACCAGCAGCTGCATGTGGAAATCCAGCAGGTGCAAGTGGAGGAGTGGGGAATCAAACCCAGTTCTCCCAGATTAGAGTCTGCGTTCCTAACCACTACACCAAACTAGCTCTCTTACAGAGTCACAATTAGAAGGCCTGCCAGCAGGTTTGAAAATTAAGCTAAACTTTGAATATTGAAAACATGGGACTTTTGAATAATACGTTGTCATTAAACATAGCATATTCATTATTGCCAAAATTACTTACATTTAAACAAAAAAAAAGTCTTGTATACCTCTACAGCATAAAGGTTTTGTTTCAGTGCTCCCTCAAATTTCCCGGTTTTTCCCTGGGAAAACCTGGGAAAGTCCTCAATATTTTTCCTGCTGTATATTTGGAGCAAAATGCTTTGTAACACAAGAATTTTCTCACTCAAATAATATTTTATAGTAGTTCTTTTTTCAGTGCTGCTCAATTTTTCCATTGGAGACGAATTTAAGTCCTCAGCCTTTTACGTACTAGAACGCGAGGGCATCTAATGAAGCTGACGGGCAGTAGACTTAGGATGGACATAAGGAAATACTTCTTTACACAGAGAGCGATTAAAATGTGGAATTCGCTGCCAGAAGATGTAGTGATAGACACAGGAATAAACAGCCTTAAAAGGGGATTAGACAGATCCATGGACGATGGGGGCTATCAGTGGCTACTCGCCGTGGTGACGGAGGGGAACCTCCACATTCAGAGGCACTAAACCTGTGAATCCCAGAACCAGGAGGCACCATCAGGGGAAGGCCTTGGCCTGTATGCACTGTTATTGGCCATCCAGAGGAACTGCTGGCCACTGTGTGAGACAGGATGCTGGAACTAGATGGACTAGCGGTCTGATTCAGCAGGGCTCTTCTTATCACAACCAAAGTCCCTTTGCACACTGCATGGAGAGGAAGGTGAACATTTCTGTAGGCACTGCCTGCATCGGTATCGTCTTCCTTGCTTCAGGCCTGTCTTTGCGCAGTCAACAGTTGTCTCTCCCTCTGCACCACACTACCAAATATTTATTTATTATTTATTTTTCATATTTGTATCCCTCCCTCCCCAAAGGCTCAGGGCGCATCACAAGGGCAAGGTAAAAACCGAGCCATAAATAAAACATATGGTACATAATAAAAACATCCAGCATTATTAAAAACAGTGGTGCTCAATCAATTACTAGTATCGTGAATCCAAGACGAAGCAACTCAGTTCAGATGGTACATCCCATGAAATTATGCCTAAACGGAGACGACTTATCAGATCTTCTAAACATTTCCAGGTTCTTCCTCAGGGCCTCGTCAGTGCATCCTTTAAGGTACCGTGACGGTGATGGTATAGTGGGGCGGCGGCTCCTACTCAAAGGCCTGGCGGAAGAGCTCTGTCTTGCAGGCCCTGCAGAACTGCATAAGGTCCCGCAGGGTCCAGATCTCCCCCGGGAGCTCATTCTACCACGTAGGAGCCGCCACCGAAAAAGCCCTGGCCCTGGGTCCCAGCTAATTTGGCATCCTTGGGGCCCGAGATGACCAACAAATTTTGGGGGCCCGACCGTAGTGCTCTGGGGGAACATGTGGGGAAAGGGTATCTTCTTTCTTTACCACAAACCCCAAAACACCTCACTCTGGAACCTCTATGCCCTTTGGGTCACCAGTAGCCAAAGATCTCTCAGCCAGAACCCAGAGTCTAGTTTGGGACTTTGCAACACTCTGAACTCCAATCCCAACTGGATTCAATCACACACCAGATTCTTTAGAACCAAAACCTCTGTGTTATCTGGATCCAGAGACCCAGACCCAACCCCAGTAACTGAGATCCAAACCTTCTGTGGCACTATCTAGACCCCAGACTCAAATCTGAATGTCACACAGTGCCCTTCGAACAGAGCAGAATACATGCAGAGGACATCTGAATTAATATTCTTACTTTATTAGATTACAAAGCAACAGCTGTGCAGGGATCCCATTGGCTAGACAAGAGCTACCTGTAGCTGCTATTCATGTCTTTTCCATGAAAGGACCATATAAAATCATCCCCAGGTGGATGGTGCCTCAGCCATGGATGGGAATACAGCGTAGTTCAAAGATACGGCTTATTGGTTAATGGCCAACAGTTATGTACTTGTGGGATGCTTAGTACTTAAAACCGATATATTTCCGTTCCAATTAAGAGTAGTAATAATGAGCTAATGTCTCTGAAGAGGCAGCTGTGTGGATTTAGTTCACGCTGTCTAAGAATATATGGGTAAAAAAAAATAAATCTCCCCGGTGTTTTATTTTTCTAAGATTGTGAGCTCCAAGAAAGTGGGACAGAGAGCGATTATTTTAATACGAAGCGATCTCTTGAAAAGACGGAACAATGAGAACTTTGGGATCCAAGACGGCGTCTTCCTTTAGAAACCCTCCGTTGGAAGCTAATTTTGTCTGTGCATTTTCTATGCGTGTGAGCCGACTTTTGGACTCGCGCCAACACAATCTCTCTTACTCTTTGAATGGTCTGTGTACAGCTAATATTTTATACTGTTTTAAGGTTGTCTAAACTGCAGGTATTGTATAACATTGTTAATAAAAGGGAAATGGGTGCTGAGTTTATTGTTGTGCTACACACACCCTCGAGGGACCGAGGAACGCTACGCTGGTGTGTCTTTTGACAGGAGATTAATAATCAGGTAGAAAAGAAAGCGGCAGGGAAATCCGCAACTTCCTCTGCGCAAACCTTCATTAACCTGACAGGGCCATTGACAATAGAGGAATAATCGCGGTTTGTGGGATTAAGGATTAGAGAGCTAATTAACCGAGGTTAAATTCAAGCTTGCTGCCTCAATGGCTGTCACGTTTTCTGATTTCTACTTCTCCAAGAATAACCAGATGGTGCAACTTCCACTCGCTTCTTCCTGGGCTCCCTGAGGAAGCAGGAATGAAACCTGCGCCCTCTGGAGGATAAGTGAAGTCGTGCACATATGAAAGAATAATATTTCTTTTTCTCTTTCTTCCCCCACTCATAGCGGATTGAAGTTTTATTTCCCAACATGGCAGAAGAGTGAGTATTAAAAAAAACAACAACAGACCTTTTAATTAGAGTGAATGGAAAAATGGGGGGAAAAAGTGGATCTTTGAGGAAGAATGGTGATGGCTCCAGGTTTGCCAAGAGGCTGAGGTGGTAGAATGAACGGCACCATTTCAGACCGCAGGTGGAGGATTCTGGCTTTCCTTTGTATACACGGAACTTCCCTTCACACAGAAAACTAGCTCCAACGGTGGGGGGGGAGTTGGACCCCCCATTGCTTTGGTTTTCTATGTGCAGGGAGGGAGTTCTTTTCCCCCAGAGAGTGGAACATTCCAAACAGTCTTTCTTGTGCTTGTAGACTGAAATTGTACAGTCCGTTTTGCCACCTCTCTCTCCTGTGCGTGTGACTCAGTCCTTAAAGAACAAGGAAACAGATATCTGGAGCCTTCTTTATTCTCTGGAAGGAAAATGAACCTGAAATAGAGCTGGGGAGAAAGGGAAGAAGAAACCGGGGCCCAGGATTCTCAGGAAGGAGGTGTGGTGGGCAGAGAGGTAGGGGGAGCCAAAGCCCTGTCTGTCAAGAGTAATGCTGGTATTTGAAACTCTGGGATGAGATTTCTTTAAGCAGCATCTTAGGGGTCTTATAGGGTTGCTACCTCTAGGTTGGGAAATACCTGGGAATTTTGAGGGTGGAGCCTCGAGAGGGCGGGGCTTGGGCAGGGGAGGGGCCTCAGCAGAGTACAACGCCATAGACTCCACCCTCCAAAGCAGCCATTTTCTCCAGAAGAATTGATCTCTAATGTAATCACAGGAGATCTCCAGGGGCCACCTGGAGGGTGGCAAGCCTTCAGCCTTAGCAGGAAGACAGGTGTGTAAGTCAAGAAGGATTATATTCATTCTGACTGAGGCGTATCTTTCTCTTCTGTCTTTTGCAGGGAAGAGGTGACTGTAAGTACCAACAAAGGGGCATTCTCCAAACCTATGGGAAATAATGTCTCTTCTTTTGAGTTGCCATGTTTCCCTCCTCCTTCCAGATTCCTTATTTACTGTGCTAGGAAAATGTTGGGTTTCAGTGTCTGTGTGTCCCCCCCCCCCCCGTTTAAATTACCATTCAAATTGGATAATTGCCATGCAGAATGGATGTGACAAACTCCGATCATCCGTCTTAAGTCATTGTGAATAGTCTGCTACTGGAACCAAATAACCGTCAACAGTATTTACAATTGTGACATCTTTGTGAAATGTCGAATCATGACTTTTGAATCTTACTGAGCTCCCGTTTTTATGTTCTGCTGAGTTTTGTCACCCCGGAGACGCTTTGCAAGAGCGTCTCTGCTAGCTCCATAGAAAGAGGGTCCAGACGAGCTTTGCAAGAGATCAGCTGTGTAAATTCAGGTTACGATTGAAAACGGTGCTTTAAAAACATAATTGTTTTTATCTGTGGCACTCTGGAAGGAGTTTGACATTGATTTGCTTTTTTCCTTGTCACCCCGGAGACGCTTTGCAAGAGCATCTCTGCTAGCTCCGTAGAAAAAGGGTTCAGACGAGCTTTGCAAGAGATCAACTGTGTAAATTCAGGTTACAATTGAAAACGGTGCTTTAAAAACAGATATTGTTTTTATCTGTGGCACTCTGGAAAGAGTTTGACATTGATTTGCTTTTTTTCTGCCTTTATACCCCACCTCCAAAGCAGCTCACATCGTTCCCCTCTCCTTCATTTTATCCTCACAACAACCCTGTGAGGTAGCTTCGGCTGAGGGTATCTGGCTGGCCCTTGAGGGGGTGGCCTGGGAGAGGGAGGAGCTTAACCTTTTTCTTAAAGGACAGTCTGACGAATGCCACACAATTAATACATTTTTTCTTTGTACAGTTTGAGGAAGAGGAGGAAGAAGAATATGTGGAGGAGGAAACGGAAGAAACGGCAGCCGAGGCAGAACCGGAAGCGGAACCGAAACCGAAACCTCCCGCCCCGGAGCCTCCCAAGCCTGCCACTCGGCCTCCTCCCCCAACTGCCACCCCTCATCCCCTCCGCCGAAAATCGTCAGCGAACTATCGAGCCTATGCTATCGAGCCACATGATAAGGTGGGGTTCTGGTGTCCTTTGAAAATTTTAATAAACCCATAAAGGCAGGACTGGTACATCCCCTGTTGGCTCAGGGATGTGGAAATCAGGCACATGACTCACATTCTTGAGAATCACAGGCTTCTCTCTGCTTTTCAAGATGCACCAGCTCCCCGTGGCTGCAGAGGTCTGGATGTGTCTCTCTGAAACACATCCATCTTCAGATGTGGGTCTGGTCCTTCCCAAATGACCTCCAATCAAGTGCAGTTGTGGTGATTTTGGGGCCCTGGGCAAAATGCCAGGATGGAGCTAGGAAATCACTGCCATCACTTCCCCCCCTCCCCTGCCAGGGCCAAAGAAGGAGTGGCCCTCACCGTGTGTGAGGTGTTAAGCTGCCAGGCCCCCTGGCCACCGGTTGGGGATGGGGGCAAAGGGGATCCAATGGCACAGAGTTCACCCTCCGTAGCATCCATCTTCTCCGGGGGGACTGGTCTCTGTAGTCTGGAGATGAGCTGTAATCCTGGGGGATCCCCAGGTCCCACCTGGAGGCTGGCATCCCTAATAGGTGGGCAGGAGACACTGCTACCACCAGGAGCCAGTGGCCCAAGCCCCCTAATAGGGGGTCAGGAGACACGGCTCCCACCAGGAGCCAGTGGCCCAAGCCCCAGAGGGGGCAGGTGCAAGTGGCAGCAGGAGCCTCCTCTTCTTCTCTCTTCCTTCCATTGAGGAGATGAGGCTCTATGCAGTTTAGGGCCTCCCCAGGCCAGGAGCCCAGAGCAGCTGCCCCTGTTGCCTGTTGGCTAAGCCCCCCCCCCCCGCCTCCAATCAGGTTACTTCTCTCTGTATTTCTATAGCCCACTTTGATCTAGCACATTGATCAGCTGTCCCTCCTTCCCCCGGCGGAAGACAGGAGGGCCTGGCGGGAGCTGGTCCATGGGGTCGTGAAGAGTCGGACTCGACTGTGCGACTGAACAACAACAACAGGCCTGGAGCCCAGAGCAGCTGCCCCTGTTGTCTGTTGGCTAAGCCCCCCCCCAATCAGGTTACTTCTCTCCATTTACTAATCTGTCTCCTTTGCCCTCCTCTTGTATCTCTATAGCCCGCTTTGATCTAGCACATTGATCAGCCGTCCCTCCTTCCCCTTGACTTCTAATCCCCCGCCCAAACTGGATATTCACAATAGACGGCTGGGAAATTAGATGTATCCTTGGAGGATAGGTCTATCAGTGGCCAGAAGCCGGAATAACTAGGTTGCCTGCTCCAAGTCCAGAAATTCACAAAACCAAACAAGGACCCACGGTAAGTAGGAAAACCAACATACAACAAGTACCGTGCACAGATGATTATAACGTATCATAAATAATTTTACATGTTTTGAAAAAAAATATTTTTACAATAATGTGTACATATATAATAAATCATCTTAATTAAAAATATCGAAAATCATCTCCAAGAATCTCAAAAGCTATTGTACGACCTTTAATAATAGTCCTCCTCTGTTAAATAAAGTTTCAAGTCGGAGGACTCCTTGAAGTCTCTTTATAACATGTGCTCATGTCTTCCTCCAACAGAGGTCCAGATATCCTTCGGTTTCCAAATCTTCCTCAGGGAGTTCAACAATAATTTTCAGCACAAGGTTGCCACATACCAAAGTTTTAATCCAAAGTTCTCTTCAATGAACGCTGCAAATTTTTTTTGATTAAGATGATTTATTATATATGTAC